AATTATTTCTCTGCACCACAGTGTGGTGCATTGCGCTGCAGTGCTATAACATGTGGTGCCATGCAGTGTGCTGTGGAAAAATACAGCATGAGTTAGTTTTTTCACTCCATACTACACCACACATCATACCAGTATTGTGGTGTAAAATAGGGCAAAGAGAAAAGAATTGTTTTCTATGTGTCCTAGCGGTGACCTTGATTCAGTTCCAAAACTCATGTAGCACAGACCCCAGACTGGGCTGGCTGTTGATCTCAGGTTCCATTCCGTGGTAGGCACATGGCAGCCAGGCAGACAACAGTTCACAGTCAAACAAGTCAGAAAACAGCCTATGCACGTCTCTTTGCAGTTTATTTGCTGGTTTAACTTTGGCGGGGTGTGGAGTGAGCCTTGGGATACTCCACAACTCGCAGAAATGCAATAGAGGACACCTGTAACTAATCTGTTTCTTCAGGGTGCAGTCACCCTCAAATTCAATATTTAGGAAAGCTACAATGCAGGGAACTTCTTGGTAGAGGTATAACCTGAGTCAAGAAAACTGTAGTGAGCTCCCCCAGGGGCAGCCTCTAGGATCCCTGAGGCTAGCACTCACTGTGCCCTGGGTACTGTAATGCTTCCTATAGTACCAGCCAGCCTCCGTACTGGATGCCTCCCGTCCTGCTTCAGGGTGCTCTGGACAAAGGTCCCCAAGCTCTAGCTGGAGTAGGGACCCCAAAAAGTGTTTCTTCTGCTCTGTAGCTGACAGCTTCGGAGGTCCAATATATCAAAATTAGTGCTGCGTTAGTCAGACAATAATAATTGTGATACTAAATCCCAAAAAAATTAAACCACACCTTCTGGGATAATAAAATTTATATTCCTAACCCACTGCTGTGTGTATATCAATACATATATATAAATATAGATACAAGTGATTAAATGTCCCAATCTTAAACCACAACATGCAAATAAAAAGTCCAATCGTAAACTGAGAACCAGCCATGCTTCGGAAAAGGACTATACCTCCGTGTGTAAAAAAATTCAGCATCACCTGCAGTGCCAACAGTCACCAGGTGAACTCTCACCTTAATAGTATGACCTCCCACTATGTGTTCGGTCTAACAGTGCTTTTGGTCCTACTAACGGGACCAGATCCTCCTCTCCAGGCAGGGCTTGGATGATGCCACAACATCCACATGAAACCCTGAAAGTGGTCTGAAAGTATACATCGGTACACTGAACATTGTGACACCTGTTTTATTAGCTGTATACCTTGGTGTGGGCTGCCACCTTATGCACATGAGTGCAATATACACTATATTGCCAAAAGTATTGGTCGGCCTGCCTTTACACGCACATGAACTTTAATGGCATCTCAGTCCTAGTCCATAGGGTTCAATATTAAGTTGGCCCACCCTTTGCTGCTATAACAGCTGCAACTCTTCTGGGAAGGCCGTCCACAATGTTTAGGAGTGTGTCTATGGGAATGTTTGACCATTATTCCAGAAGCGCATTTGTGAGATCAGGCACTGATGTCGGACAAGAAGGCCTGGCTCACAGTCTCCACTCTAATTCATCCCAAAGGAGTTCTATCAGGTTGAGGTGCAGGCCAGTCAAGTTCCTTCACCCTAAACTTGCTCATCCATTTCTTTATGGACTTTGCTTTGTGCACTGGTGTGCAGTCATGTTGGAACAGGAAGGGGTCATCCCCAAACTGTTCCCACAAAGTTGGGAGCATGAAATTGTCCAAAATGTCTTGGTATGCTGATGCCTTAAGAGTTCCCTTCACTGGAACTAAGGGGCCAAGCCCAACCCCTGAAAAAAAACCCCACACCATAACCCCCATCCACCAAACTTTACACTTGGCACAATGCAGTCAGGCAAGTACCGTTCTCCTGGCAACCGCCAAACCCAGAAATGTCCATCAGAGAAGTGTTATTAGTCACTCCAGAGAATACGTCTCCAGTGCTCCAGAGTCCAGTGGCGGCATGCTTTACACTACTGCATCCGACACTTTGCACTGCACTTGGTCATGTAAGGCTTGGATGCAACTTCTCGGCCATGGAAACCCATTCCATGAAGATCCCTGCGCACTGTCAGTTGTGCTAATCTGAAGGCCACAAGAAGTTTGGAGGTCTTTAGCTATTGACTCTGTAGATAGTTGGCGACTTCTGTACATTGTGTGCTTCAGCATGCGCTGATCCCCTTCTGTCATGACCTACCACTTGGTGGCTGAGATGCTGTTGTTCCTAGTTGCTTCCACTTTGTTATAATACCACTAACAGTTGACCGTGGAATATTTAGTAGCAAGGAAATGTATTGCACAGGTGGCAACCTATCATGTTACCATGCTTGAATTCACTGAGCTCCTGAGATTGACCCATTCTTTCACAAATGTTCGTAGAAGCAGTCTGCATGCCTAGGTGTTTGATTTTATACACCTGTGGCCATGGATTGGAACACCTGAATCCAATGATTTGGAGGGGTGTTCTGATACTTTTGGCAATATAGTGTATATGTTTGAGGCAATAAAGTATTTTAAGGATAAGGCACTATTTGCAATATTATTTGCATGTTATGGAGCGGAGCTTGGTTGAGGAGGAGATACGTGTGTAAAGCTGGAGCCAAAAGCGCTGTTAGCCCGAACACTTAGTGGGAGGTCATACTATTAAGGTGACAGTTCAGCTGGTGACGGTTGGGTACTGCAGTTGATGGAGGTGTAGTCCTTTTCCAAAGCATGGCTGGTTCTCAGCTTATGAGTGGACTTTTAATTTGTACGTTGTGGTTTAAGATTGGGACATTTAATCAGTTGTATCGATATTCATATATACAGTATGTATTGATATACATGCACAGCAGTGATGTTTTGGGGCTGTCGCTGGGAAACATGGGACTTTCAACTCCCTCCAAAGGTTTTCTATGGGGTTGAGATCTGGAGACTGGCTAGGCCACTCCAGGACCTTGAAATGCTTCTTACGAAGCCACTTCTTCGTTGCCCGGGTGGGTATGTTTGGGATCATTGTCATGTTGGAAGACCCAGCCACATTTCATCTTCAATACCCTTGCTGATGGAAGGAGGTTTGCACTCAAAATCTCAGAATACATGGCCCCATTCATTCTGTCCTGTACATGGATCAGTCATCCTGGTCCCTTTGCAGAGAAACAGCCCCAAAGCATGATGTTGCCACCCCCATGCTTCACAGTAGGTATGGTGTTCTTTGGATGCAACTCAGCATTCTCTCTCCTCCAAACACAACGAGTTGTGTTTCTACCAAACAGTTCTATTTTGGTTTCATCTGACCATATGACATTCTCCCAATCCTCTTCTGGATCATCCAAATGCTCTCTAGCAAACTTCAGACGGGCCCGGACATGTTCTGGCTTAAGCAGGGGGACACGTCTGGCACTGCAGGATCTGAGTCCCTGGCGGGGTAGTGTGTTACTGATGGTAGCCTTTGTTACGTTGGTCCCAGCTCTCTGCAGGTCATTCACTAGGTCCCCCCGTGTGGTTCTGCGATTTTTGCTCACCGTTCTTGTGATCATTTTGGGTGAGATCTTGCGTGGAGCCCCAGATTGAGGGAGATTATCAGTGGTCTTGTATGTCTTCCATTTTCTAATTATTGCTCCCACAGTTGATTTGTTCACACCAAGCTGCTTGCCTATTGCAGATTCAGTCTTCCCAGCCTGGTGCAGGTCTACAATTTTGTTTCTGGTGTCCTTCGACAGCTCTTTGGTCTTCACCATAGTGGAGTTTGGAGTGTGACTGTTTGAGGTTGTGGACAGGTGTCTTTTATACTGATAACAAGTTCAAACAGGTGCCATTGATACAGGTAATGAGTGCAGGACAGAGGAGCCTCTTAAAGAAGAAGGTACAGGTCTGTGAGAGCCAGAAATCTTGCTTGTTTGTAGGTGACCAAATACTTATTTTCCACCATAATTTGCAAATAAATTCTTTCCAAATCAGCCAATGTGATTGTCTGGATTTTTTTTCTCATTTTGTCTCTCATAGTTGAGGTCTACCTATGATGCCAATTACAGGTCTCTCTCATCTTTTTAAGTGGGAGAACTTGCACAATTGGTGGTGGCTGACTAAATACTTTTTTGCCCCACTGTATATATATTTATATCTTAGACATATGAGTATAAGTACACCCACTTTATAACCTGCATATTTCTTGTATTTTAACACCACATCCTATTTACATGTATAGAATGCACCAAAGTGGTGTAACATATATTTATCATAGAGATACACAGTAGTGTGAAGAACATCTGAATCTGCCATAGGTTTAGCAACATATATCTATGTCCCTGCATACAATGATACACTCAAATCAGTAAGTATAAAGATACAGCAAAAAGCAGTATAAACCAGGTACAGAGACTGGTGGAAAAAAAAAACACAAAACATTTCGGGGGTTCAATGGTCCATTAGGCTTCATTCATACTTGTGACTTGTCCTGCCACTTTGGACACAGAAAGTGTCATGACCAGTTGCAACCAATGAATTTCAATGAAAGGCATTCAAATCTATGAGGCTTAAAATCACAGCGACTTTTTAAAAAGTTCATGCGCTACTTTGATGCGACTTTCATGTGATTTTAGTGCCATAGACTGCAATGTAAACTCTCAAAAGTCGCATGAAAGTTGCATCTTAATGTCATTAATACGACAGTTATGCAACAGTCAAAGCTAAAGTCGCATCCAAGTTGCACCCATCTAAAGTTGTAACAAAGAATGGAGATCACATGACTTTGGAGTCACACAAGTGTGAATGGATCCTAAGGGTATCCCACCCTTTTTCCCCAGCTGTAGGAGTTTTTCGACCCCCAAAACATTCTATATGTAAATGTGATGAAATTGCTTGATGTTAAAGCTGAACTCTGGGATAAGCAAATGTCATCAAAATACATGGGGCATGTGTATTCCTACTTGAATCTTGGTGAACTTTGTGTGTGTCTTCCAGACATGTGCAGCAATCTAGTGTGAGGGCCAGTTTACAATATAGAAATGCAGTCCAGATCAGGGGCGGACTGACCATTTGGAAACTCGGGCACTGCCTGAGGGCCCAGGGTCAGTAGGGGGCCCCATGAGATGCCCCTGGTACCTTTTTCATAGGCTTTTTTGAGTTTGGGCAAGGACACAGGGGTCCCATGATCCCCTATTGCCCGGGGGCCCCATGAGTTGTCAGTCCGCCCCTGGTCCAGATGTGTTCCAGATACGTTTCCGCATGCATGGTTTTGACACGTTCTGGTGCATTTTTAAGCTGTTCCAGTGCATTTTTTATGTATTCCAGTTCATTTTTCCCCCTTTTTCTTCAATTCCAGGGACATGTGCATTCCAGTACGTTCCGGTGTGTTTTACCACGTTCTAGTACAGTTCTGTGCAGAAAAAAAATGCAGCCTGTTCTACTTTTTTTTCTGCAACTGGAACTCACTGGAACTGCAAGCATTGATGTGAACTATGACATTGACAAACATATAACCTACTTTCTGTGCATTTTGGATGCAGAAAAAAAAGCAACTGAAACGCATGTAGCGTGAACTGGCCCTATCTCTGTGCAATAGCTTCCTGTGATAAAGACTGGTCACTGCTGCTCTCTGTCTACTTGTGCAGGGTGACATAGTATGCATCAAGGTAAAAAAACCTTGTGCCTTTAGAACCAATTTAAATACAAGAAATGTTCAGCTTAAAACATGGCGTGATTACTCATACTTTTAAGTTCTATTATAGAACTTCTATAATTTTTTTAAATTGCCTAACAACACATATTTTTCTTTCTTTTCAAACCACAGTAATAGATTTCCGGGAAAGCTTTGCATACCAGTTTGTGTATGTCCTCAGAAATCTCTTTTAGTATGTTTGGTCAACTGGGGATGGGTGGCTTGTCCTCCAAATGCTTTCAGTAAAATATAACCACCCTAAAGCCCCCTTCCCTCACTCTTTTTTACAGGTTTACTGCAGGGAGTTGTCTTCTTTGGTGATATTTTGGGTAAACATCTATATAAGGGTGCGAAGGATGCAAAGTCTCTCTTACTACACTGGGACTGATCATGTAATTATGGCAGAAAGTCCTCCTCCCTGACCTGTGTAGGTAGCCATATAACAGAAGAAGGTAAGAATCTGCATTGAAGTTTGTTGAAATCTTTGCAGTTTTGACATCAACCTCTAAATCAGGCATCACTGAATGTCAGACCACGGTCCGAGTCCAGACCCAGTCACTGTCCCACCCGGACCGCTGCAGTCCAGTCATTGAGTAGCTGGTTCTTCCCCTCAGCTATTGCCACCACTGACATCCTCACAGGCTGACATCTGGAGGAAGGACAGTTCTGGATGAGGGTGGGAGCTGCCATGTTAACTTTCCAAGTTAAGAAGCAGGTGGGGTGGTTGCTAAGACACAGGGTGATCCTAGCAACCAATCACAGGAGATGTTGTGCAGCTCCAGTACTCCATTCAGAACTATTCTGCCTCCTGACATCATCTCTAGACTTGTTTTGTATCCCTTCTCAAGGAAATACAGAGGAGAGGGCTATATCATCGCTGTGAAGGATGGGGAGGAAGCCAGGGGTGATATCAAAGTGGGGATGAGGGAGGTGGGTGTTATAAAAGGGGGGCTGAGGACAGGAATGTAAAGGCATAGGGGGTGATATGAAGGGGAACCAGAACAGGAATTTGAAGAATAGAGGGTCAATATAAAAAAAGGAAGGGGGGGCGGCTGAAGACAGAATTGTGAAGGAGAAGGGGGATAATATAAAGGGGGGCTGAGGACAGGCATGTGTAGGAGAAGGGGGATGATATAAACGGGGGCTGAGGACAGGAATGTGTAGGAGAAGGGGGATGATATAAACGGGGGCTGAGGACAGGAATGTGTAGGAGAAGGGGGATGATATAATCGGGGGCTGAGGACAGGAATGTGTAGGAGAAGCAGAGTAATATAAAGGGGGGCTGAGGACAGGAATGTGTAGGAGAAGGGGGATGATATAAAGGGAGGCTGAGTACAAGAAAGTGAAGGAGAAGGGGATGATATAAAGGGGGGCTGAGGACAGGAATGTGAAGGAGAAGGGGGATGATATAAAGGGAGGCTAAGGACAGGAATGTGAAGGAGAAGGGGATGATATAAAGGGGGGCTGAGGACAGGAATGTGAAGGAGATGGGGAGTAATATAAAGGGGGGCTGAGGACAGGAATGTGAAGGAGAAGGGGAGTAATATAAAGGGGGGCTGAGGACAGGAATGTGAAGGAGATGGGGAGTAATATAAAGGGGGGCTGAGGACAGGAATGTGAAGGAGAAGGGGAGTAATATAAAGGGGGGCTGAGGACAGGAATGTGAAGGAGAAGGGGAGTAATATAAAGGGGGGCTGAGGACAGGATAGTGAAGGAGAAGGGGAGTAATATAAAGGGGGGGCTGAGGACAGGAATGTGAAGGAGATGGGGAGTAATATAAAGGGGGGCTGAGGACAGGAATGTGAAGGAGAAGGGGAGTAATATAAAGGGGGGGCTGAGGACAGGAATGTGAAGGGAGGAGGGTCATATGAAAGGGGGACTGAGAATATTGATGTATTAATGGGATTGCGATTGATACCACTGCTCTAAATAATGTTTCTTAGCAGATATATATATATATACACACACACTGACCGGCCACTTTATTAGGTACACCTTGTTAGTGCCAAGAAAATATCCCCCACACCATTACACCACCACCAGCCTGAACCGTTGATACAAGACAGGAGGGATCCATGCTTTCATGTTGTTTACACCAAATTGTGACCCTACCATCTGAATGTCGCATCAACCAGTCTGCCCATTCTCCTCTGACCTCAGACATTGACAAGGCATTTTCATCCATACAACTGCCGCTCACTGGATATTTTCTCTTTTTTTTTCGGACCATTCTCCGTAAACCCGAAAGATGGTTGTGCGTAAAAATTCCCAGTAGATCCACAGTTTTTGAAATACTCATACCAGTCCGTTTGGCACCAACAACCATGCAATGTTCAAAGTCACTTAAATCCCCTTTCTTCCCCATTCTGATGCTCGGTTTGAACTTCAGCAAGCCATCTTCACCACATCTACATGCCTAAATGTATTGAGTTGCTGTCATGCGATTGGCTGATTAGCACTTTGTGTTACAAAGCAACTGAAGAGGTGTACCTAATAAAGTGGCCGGTGAGTGAGGCTCACTTGAAAATTTAAGTGCATACGAATGAGCACAAACCTTACAGCTGGCACAATATCTCCGATTGATGGTAAATCTGACTAGCTGGGATACATATCTGACACAGGTTCTAATCCCTCCCCACTCTATCCAGAACTAAAAAAAGGTTTTGCCTTTAGTTATATGTTAATGCAAAACTGCCTTCCCAGAGGACCATGTAAGCTGTAATGACCTCTGCCTTACTCTGTTCTAGCTGCCTAACTAGGGGGTCATGGGTTTTCTCCATCTCCCTCTGTAGGTCAGAACATTCAGCTCTGCAGGGGCAGTGCATGGTGCTCCTCCTAGCCCAGCTCATCATATTCCCATTTGTGATGTCACTTCCTTTACTGTCATCCACTCCCACATTCAGGAGATAAACAGGCTGGTGGTATTGTTGGTAAGAATTGGTGGTAGGATTGACAACAGTTTAGGAATGCAAAATATTGTAGAATACAAAGCAAAGTAAGTTTATGTCTGGAAACTACACAGTTATGAAAAATGCAAATTTAGTATGCCAAGTCTATGCTATTTCTTATTCAGCAAAAGGTTAAACTGTGAGTGTTCCAGTTTGTGCAGAGTGTGGTTTCATTTGTCTTGCCTGGCTGGACAATATAGTAGGCAATAAAGAGACCTCATGTATAGCTTAGTTATCTGTGTTTTACCTTTTGGCTAAGATCAAGTGTAGTATCTGTTCTTATCAGTGTCCAGTGGGGGTGCTACCGACCATTCTAGTTTACGGGGATGGTTGTTGTACAGTACCCTCACTGGTATGATGGGGGTCCGGAAGGCTAGTACCGGAGGGACAGAAACCAGGGAGCGCCATGATTCGTTCTGGGGCCTTGGGAGTAATTCCTCTGGGGAGACCGGAAAGACCCAGTTCCTCCTGGTTTGAGCATGCTACCTTGGTCTGGCCTGGGGCTGAGGAGGCAAAAAGTCCGCAAACTCAGTGCCCCCTGAGGAGACGCGCTCAGGGGTGTCACTAGTAACACTTGGTGTGTGGGACCCCACGGTGTGAAGATGACACATGGCCACTGTTTTTACACTCTTTTTTGCACAGCGCCCTAAGGACCAGGTCTTTTGGCTAAGTCCAGGGCAATTTTTGCTACGGGCCTCAGGGCCTGGTCTGTGCACTATTAGGCACGGTACCACTTTTTTATTTTTATTCTATTTATTTATTCACTCCCACGTTTTGTCACTTTTTGCTTTCTTATGTGTGTGTGTTTTTTTCACGGATGGAGGGTGTGGGTCCTCGGGCCTTACCTGAAGTCTAGGGGGAGGATGTGTGGCCATACGGTTCCTTCCTCCCCTGATCCCTAGGGGGTTTTCTCTTCGGGAGAACCCCCTTGCCTAGTACTGGATGTCCGGCTTCGGCTGGGCATAAGGAACGGTGGTCCACCAGGCCTTTTGGCCAGGAGGACCAAATGGGAACCTTGTCCCTGTCAGGAGCTTCGTGCCCCGGGGGATCGGGTGAACGGTCCAGCCCTTTCGGGGGTAGGACAAACACACCCCTAAGTGCACGTTTTTCGTGTGTGTGTTTCTGCACTTGCACTTTTTTGCGGACACTTACGGGTTTTTTCGTTACAGTCTCACGTTTGCGGACTTAAAGAAAAAAAAAAAAAAAAAATCTGTGTTTTACAATCTCGGCCTTTTGGCTAAGATCAAGTGTAGTATCTGTTCTTATCAGTGTCCAGTGGGGGTGCTCCCGACCATTCTAGCTTTGCGGGGGATGGTTGTTGTATAGTACCCTCACTGGTATGATGGGGGTCTGGATGGCTATTACGGGGGGAACAGAAACAGCGCCACAAGTTAAGCTGGGGCCCTGGGAGTAATTCCCCTTTGGAACGTCTGAAGGACCCAGTACCTCCTGATTTGGACGGATCTACCTTGGTCTGGCCAGGGGGGCTGGGAAGGCAGAGAGTCCGCAAACTAGGTGCCCCCTGAGTAGTCGCCTCAGGGGTGCTCTGAGTAGCACTTGGGTGTGGGACCCCACGTTGTGAATGAGCACATGGTCACCGAGTTTAAACACTTTTTGCACTGCGCCTCTAGGACCGGGCCTTTTGGTCAAGTTCTGGGCAATTATTTTGCTACAGGCCTCAGGGTCTGGTCAGTGCACAATTTGGGCACGACACTTTTTATTATTTTTATAGATTTATTTAATTATTTATTTATTTATTTTTCCTTCACCCCACGTTTGTCACTTTTTACTTTTGTGTGTGTTTTTCACAGGATGGAGGGTGTGGGTCCTCGGGCCTGCCCTGAAGTCTAGGGGGAGGATGTGTGGCCATACGGTTCCTTCCTCCCCTGTCCCTAGCGGGTTTTCTCTTCGGGAGAACCCCCTGGCCTAGTACTGGATGTCCGGCTTTGGCTGGACATAAGGAACGGTGGTCCACCAGGCCTTTTGGCCAGGAGGACCAAATGGGAACCCTGTCCCTGTCAGGAGCTTCGTGCCCCGGGGGATCAGGGTAGCGGTCCAACCCCTTCGGGGGTAGGACAAAGCACACCCTTAAGTGCACTTTTTGTGTCGTGTTTTGCACTTGCACTTTTTTGTGAACACTTACGGGTTTTTTCGTTATAGTTGCACGTTTGCGGACTTAAAAAAAAAAAAAAAAAAAAAAATCTGTGTTTTACAATAGACATTAGGAAGATCATATCAGAAGGAAAGGGTGGGGGTGTCTGTGGGATCTGCTGATAAACCCGTTAATTCTGTTAAATTTATTTGTATATGGATCTTTTTCCTGGGTACACACATGCAAAGCAGTATCTGATATTTCTACTGTGTATACTAATTCTTCGTATCCATTATTATTCTGAATAATCTCTTGTTCTGTATGTTAAGGTGGCTAGATTTTCAAAATTAAGTCTGAGGCCACCCTACTGACCATGCCCTCCTTTATTGGGGGGTGGGACAAAGGAGGAGCAGGGGTTGGGGTAAAAAGCGGCTTGCAAAGCAACAAATTGTGTTAACAATTGGAGGGGCCTAAAGGGGTATGGTTTAACAACTGAGCCTACTTTGCGCTTGGTCAAGGTGCAGGCCTAGGTATGCATTGCAGGTCACCATCAAGCAAGGTCAAGGTGGAAAATGATCCGTATCCTTACCTCTCACAATGAAGTCTGCACAAGGCAAGAGGGGAAAAACAAAGAAGACTATGTAATATCGGCATGTGACATCATCAGTTACCCCGGTTATCCAACCTATGCTGTGTCCCTGGAAGCTGTTAGGGACAAGCAACGGTAACTGGGGCCCTTTGTCTGCATGGGTTGCTTTACTCATAAGGTATACCAGGATTCCACAGAACCCTAGAGTTCCTCCAGAGGTTTTTAGGAGTTCCTTGAGCTGTAGTTAACTGACCTCCCATCTGACCCCCAATGGTCTAATCTTAGCAGGGGTTCCCTGAGACATGACAATTATTTTAAGGTTCCTCTGGGGAATGTTGAGAAAGTTTGAGGTAGAGTGTGCTTTTAGCTGCTTAGTACTAACCAGTATTTTCAACTCACAACCTCAGTTATCAAAAATAAAGGATACAACACTGTCAGCAAAGCAGTGGTTACAATGAGATGGAAGACCAGCTGGACCGCTGGGAAATTTATTTTCATGATTATTGGTAACATCATGTTCCTAATTCCCACAATATGGATAAATTATGGTTCAGCTAAGTAGCTTGGTTCAACCAATGTGAATCATTGTGATATAGTTCCCTCTGGTGGCACCATATGAAAATGACATAACTTATTAATGTGCACATGGCAAATTCCAAACTGTTTTATGCCAGATATACAAATGTCAAAGTTACAGCCATCTAGGTGGCAGTTTCTCCTTAGTTAGTCCTCATCAGGGAAAGAAACCAATGGTACCATGGAGTAGGACTTGAAGAGTAACAAGGCAGTGACCAAGCCATTATGCTGAACTGTATGTTCAAGTGGAACTAACCTGCATCTGAGCACCACAAACTGAAAACACTAAATAATTCATTTTTATTATTCAAAACAAACTCCCCCATCCATCCATGTCCCCATGCTTTATTTTGCTGAGAAATCACTTTCAAAAACACCCCCCTAACATTTTTAGCTGTGGCCATCTTGAGTAAGGACAGATGATTTGTGTAACATTGACTTCCTAGAATCGATCTGCCCTTAGCTCAAGCATATAGGCAGAAGGGTGTACTTAGCTGAGAAAACCCCTCCTCCCTTCCTGAAGACTCCTGGGATGTATGACATCCTTTTGGCCTGGGCTAAAAAATAGGAAGTACTACAAATTAAGAATTGGAGAAAAAAGTTTAGTTCCAATTTCAGTGCAATGACAGCCTTGTGCATGCAGCCAGTATACTGGAGTTCAGGAGCTGCTAAAGGAATTTACCGGGAGGCAGATAGGGCGAGTTCACCCTAATGTCATGGTGGGAGGGTTTTTGGTAAAGAAACCTGCAGAAAGTAATAGCCAGTAGTCAGCAAGAGTCAGTAGTCACATACAGATAGTCAGATAGTGATAGCAGTAAGTCAGATAGTGATAGTCAGATAGTGATAGCAGTAAGTCAGATAGTGATAGTCAGTAGTCAGATAGTGATGGTCAGCAGTCACATAGTGATGGTCAGCAGTCACATATTGATAGCAGTCAGTCAGATAGTAATAGCTATCAGTCAGATTGTGATAGCAGTCAGTCACATAGTGGTGGTCAGCTGTCATATAGTGATAGCCAGCAGTCAGAAAGTGATAGCCAGCAGGCAGATAGTGATAACAGTAAGTCAGATAGTGACAGTCAGTAGTCAGATAGTAATAGCAGTCAGTCAGATAGTGATAGTCAGTAGTCAGATAATGATAGCTGCAGTCAGATAGTGATAGTCAGCAGTCAGATAGCGATAGCAGTCATTCAGATAGAGATAGCCAGCAGTCAGATAGTGATAGCCAGCAGTCAGATAGTGATAGCCAGCAGGCAGATAGTGATAGCCAGCAGTCAGTGAGTAATAGCCAGCATTCAGATAGTGATAACAGTAAGTCAGATAGTGACAGTCAGTAGTCAGATAGTAATAGCAGTCAGTCAGATAGTGACAGTCAGTAGTCAGATAGTAATAGCAGTCAGTCAGATAGTGACAGTCAGTAGTCAGATAGTAATAGCAGTCAGTCAGATAGTGACAGTCAGTAGTCAGATAGTAATAGCAGTCAGTCAGATAGTGACAGTCAGTAGTCAGATAGTAATAGCAGTCAGTCAGTCAGATAGTGACAGTCAGTAGTCAGATAGTAATAGCAGTCAGTCAGATAGTGACAGTCAGTAGTCAGATAGTAATAGCAGTCAGTCAGACAGTGATAGCCAGCAGCCGGATAGTGATAGCAATCAGTTACATAGTGATAGTCAGCCATCAGGAAGTGATAGCCAGCAGTCAGATAGTGATAGCCAGCAGTCAGATACGTAGTTATAGCAGTCAGTGAAAAAAGCAGTCAGTTAGGAGTTAATGATTATTTAGGTCATACAAGCAGCAGTTTGTAACATTGTAGAAATGATTGCTTATTGACATAGATTTTATAGATTACTGATAGATTTAAAAAGAATGTTTGATGGTAATTTACATGGGTTAATTCATATTTTTACCGCTGCTCAAGGTAGAGAGGCTCCCAGTCTCCAAGCACAACTCCAATCAGCTCCTAGTCGTTCTACCAACATATTACACTTGAAAGATTCTACAGTTGATCAAATATATTAGAAGCTTGGTATTATAATTAATAAAGTTTGTTTGATCTTGTAAACCTTCCCACTAACTGTGGATTTAAATTCATCCCCTTTTCTTATACAAGAACAGCAGGGACAGCAGTCTATACTGCACTTGTAGTTACTCTTAAAACTCCGCCATGTTTTCTGTTTTTTTTTTAGAGATTATTGATCTGAGATACATTTAATTTTAAAACTTGCATATTTTCTTATTTGGGGTGGATCAAGAATGTATACATTTATACACGATGTGGTGTTTTTTCTTCATGGTATGTTGTTTTTCTATACATTTTTGTTTTATAGTTTTATTTTTATGTTTACATCTGTCATCCCCATTATGCGACGCAGTAATTCTTACACTTACCCCTTGGGTTAGTTTATTGGATTTTGTGTGTTGTACGCAGGGGTGGACTGACAACTCATGGGGCCCCCTGGCAATAGGGGATCATGGGGCCCTATGTCCCTGCCCAAACTCAAAAAAGCCTATGAAAAAGGTACCAGGGGCATCTCATAGGTCCCCCTACTGACCCCGGGCCCTCGGGCAGTGCCCGAGTTTCCAAATGATCAGTCCGCCCCTGGTTGTACGATGGGTTGTTATTAGTTCCAGAGTCGTCTTTACCCTCAATTTGGTCTGGTGCAGCAGGAGGTGGACCCAGTGTTGATTAGGTGGAACAGCTGTTGTCAATGTTTAAAACCAGCACTTTGTACATGGGTCCACTGGGTAATGAATAAGAGCTGTCCTTAGCGTGAAACACGTTTACCTGCTAGTCCCCCACTGTATTTCCACTGTCTGTATTGGTTTTATCCTGGTTGAATAAACTGGATTGCTTGGAGTGCAGCTGACCGGACCTCTTTTGTTCTCATTACATGGGTTAATTGTTTTCTGATTCTGAATACACTTGGAAATATATGGCAAACAATTCTCAAAAAAGCTGCAGCGTATTTTTAATGAAAATTAAGCCATTCATCAATGAAATTTAGTTCTCCAAGTTAAATAAAATGTACTGCTTGATTGTCTGAATTTGCAGAATAATTGCTCAGGCTTGGTTGTTGCAAGAAACTAGTACTTTACCAAAGGACAGGATCTGTATATACATCCACCACCTGCTGCGCTCAGGGACTCAGATCAGAGGAAGGACAATCGAATAAAATGATAAATGTTCATCCAATACTCAAAGGTTATGCAGCTCTAACATGAAGCTGGCAGGAAGCTCGATATAGACTGTAGTAGAGAACAAAATACAAAGTGCACCAACCTTGCGCATTACCTCTGTAAACAATTTGTAAATTTATTGATATATTATACTCACAAGAGTAGCATTAAAAAAGGCATATAACATCCAAAACCAACACAGGGTTAGAAGACATGTGCAAGTTCCATCTGGAAGGGAGATAAACTCCTGGTCAAGCTCAGCTCTGAGGACCCCCCCTTAGAAACGCATCAGCTTGACCAAGAGTTTATCTCCCTTCCAGATGGAACGTGCATGTGTCTTCTAACCCTGTGTTGGTTTTTGATGTTATATGCCTTTTTTAATGCTACTCTTGTGAGTATAATTCATCAATAAATGTACGAATTGTTTACTGAGGTAATGCGCAAGGTTGGTGCGCTTTGTATTTTTGTTCTCTACTACAGGATCTGTATATGTAACAGCACCATTACCTCTCAGAAGCAATTAGAAACATACTTTTCTTCCTTACTGTCCTCTTCTCTGTGCTATATGACATGTGATGAAATAGAATAATCAGTATAGACTTAGTGATGAAAGGGCGGTCAGGAGCCAAATCCACACACAGGGAACAGCTAATGAGGAATCTGGAATTAATGGATGCCTTGGATGCAGAAAAGAAATTCAGAAAATGGAATGTCTGACTGGGTTCTCGATTCTTCATGGATCCATGCCAGCCATATAAACTTCTATGTCCCCTGATGTTAGTGCCATCCTCTTGCTTCTACATGTACCTAAGTGTCATGGAATTAAAGAACTGCAAATATTTAATCAGGTAAAAAGTTCACAATACTGTAGGTATTTCAGCTTTTGCATGATGCTGTTTTAGGATAAATAATTATTTCTAATCGTCTCATTTTATACATTTTGCCTATCTAAGAAATATACAGATAATTAGTAAGGAAATAAAGTCCTTTCAAAGCATTATCACCGCAAGTGAATGAAATGGAATCATTCCATTCTTCCAGCAAAATACATAATTAGCTGAGATCTGAGTCTGAAGAGAGAATGGATGGGACCTATAATGATGAAGAAGACACTTCTATATTATCCTGAGAAAACACTTCTTTTAAATTCTATGCAAAGCTTTCAAAATATTTGACTGTCATTAGCCAATAAATATGAAAATGAATACACCATCACCAACACCTACTTCAGAGGAAAGAATGGATCTAAAAGCCCTCAGTATGAAAGATGAGAGTTTATAAAAAAGAAAATGAAAAAAATTCCAGAGGATGCTGTATGTAAACTATAAATAACAGCATATTTATTGTATAATAAAAATAGAACTGAGCCTTGTTCACACAGGAGTATTTAAAGCGGAACTGTATCCATAACAGTTTGATAAAAACAAATGTCCATTTTACAAAAGAGCATATTTTGCTTTAACTGCACACCCGTGTGAGGGTTTTTTTTTATTAGACACTATAAGGGGTCTATTTCTAAAATATTATTTGCACAAATGTTAGAAGCATTTGTATAAGTAAATGTAAGCTCCAAGGATCAGGGCCTCAAATCCCTCTTGTATTGAACTGTATTGTTGCTGTATTGTCTCCCGTTATATTGTAAAGCGCTGAGCAAACTGCTGGCACTATATAAATCCTGTATAATAATAATAATGATATGTCCTGCATTTTTTTCCAAGAGATTAATGCCTGTATTTTCATCTCCATCTAGTGGACAAAGTGCAGTGTAGTTTTCTCCAAGTTATTTTAGAAAAGTATACTGTATCATGGCCATTAGATGGAGCAGATGATACAGACATTAATCTCTTTAAAGGCTCATCTCTTTAAGGGCTCATGTACACTGCAGCTGATAAACTCACGTTTAGGAGCTGTTTAGCGTTTTTTTCAGCAGCCCCTGAACTCACCCTAATGGTTTCCTATGTGTCCATGTACACATCTTCATTTACAGGCATTTGAATTTACAGTCGTTTTTTTTTAACTTGTGTTGAGTAGTCGATTTTATCAGTTTTCAAACGCAAAACGCTTGTAAATGCGGCAAATCACGTTTATAAGTGTTTGTGTCTGCATTTTTTTTTTAACTCTTCCAGTTCCAGATGCTCTCAGAGCCTTTTTCCAACATGAAAAATGCATGCAAAGCATTTTCAAGGAACTCAGATGGACAAAACACTGAACACAGGATGTTCCTTCCAAGCTTGTCACACATTGTAATAACCAATCACACCTCTCCCACCCTTGGAAACAAGATATGTTAATGACCATTCACACCTCACATTCCTCATGATGACCCCCTGCCAGGTGACCTTACTGACTCACTCAACCAGATACCTTCCCACCCTTGGAAACAAAAGAAATATTAATGATCAACTCACACCTAAGCTAATCTCAACAAATATTGGTGTCTCTGCTTCTACTCTCTGTATTTCTCTGAAACAGTCTGAAATAGTTAATAATTTACCGCTTTTCAGTGCATTCTGGGCATTTGGGAGGTTCTCCTGTGCTTATCTTTAAAAAACGCTTCTAAACGCGGTATGCAAACATGGCTAAACAGACGTTTTTTAACCTACGTTTTCCGGCAGTCAGTTTCCATCATTCAGAAGTGTCCCGTGTACATGGGGCCTTAAGCGGAGCTCCACTCAATAGGGGATGTTCTGCTTTAAGCCTTTGTCCCCCGCTCCCCATAAAGGATTGGCACCTTTGGGGAGCGGGCATCTGAATTTGACAGGTACCCACTCCCACTTCCGCTGTGATCTTCTAGGTGACAATGGGGGCAAATAACAAAGAGCCCTGAAAGCACATAACATTGAAGCAGATGCTGCTCCTAGTTCACAAAAGCAGTGCAAACTCCTTTGTTAATCTGAGTAAATTGCAATCAGTTCTCTGTTCTGCTTGGGCAGAGAGAGTTATGTGAGCTTGCTACTGAGCTGACAAAGTCACACCTGGGGGGGATCTGCGGCAGTTTTCTATATGGAAAACTGCTGCATTTCCTCTGTTTATCATGTGCACACCCTGCGCTAGGTTCTGTTTCACTTTGAAATAGAAATTGGAGCACATAGACCTGAACAAATCTTTCTGCTTAGTTAATGTGGTGCACGCCTCATCTGACAATTTTTGGAGCCATTCTATTGGCGCAGGAAGCTTAGTTCATTCCCCGGAATGTGCATGTACCTGGCTCCAGTCCTCTCCCAGAAGTGGATGTTGCCCGTTGATTTTTTTGTGCGGTAGGGCAGCACTTCCTCCTTTCTCACCTAGGCGAAAATGATATTGCGCAGATGTGCTTATTATTTATTTATAAGTACCTGAAATCAATCAATCAATAAATAAATAAAGGTTGTACAGAGCAGTCATGTGGTAGTACAATTTGCTTCTGTGTGTGGGCAAAGCATCAACCAGCCAGCAATACTGACCACACCAGGTTGATATTTCTGCTGTCCAAATGTTGTCTCCATTGTTCATCTGTCGAGTGAAGCCACCCTAAAACAGGAAGTGTGTTACTGGCCTGATCACCAGGTGAAAATAAAAACAGCCTTAAAGAAAACAAATGCAGACACCACAAGGAATGGACAAGGGTTCCTCTTCCACCTATGCCTCTGATGGAGCAGTTTGTTTAACCCCCTGGCTCCCTTCACTTCCAGATGTGATATACCTATATGCCTGTTATCAGTAACGTTCTGGTGAGTGTACATCCGTCCGAGTTGGTGGATTCCCCTGTGTGATTCATTTCACATCCTGCACTTTAGAATACTGCACTTTATGAATCTATGGACACTGTTTAAACTCAGTTTCTTTGTGGACTTATAATTTTAATATTGCACGAATTACATACATGCAATCGTGAATATCAGTAATATTACTATTTATTGATTATTTTAATTGCACTTGTAGTGCACTTATCATCACCTTTGCTCATGGACATAATTTCCTTACCGTTTGCTGATTTCCTGTCTATTATATACAAGTTTTACATATATTTATTATTATTATTATTATTATTATACAGTGTTTATATAGCGCCAGAAAGGTTTGCTCAGCGCTGTACATTATAGTGAGCGACAGAACATGAGACAATACAATAACAAAACAAAACACGAGGGGGTCAAGGGCCCTGCTCTTTCGAACTTATCTAGGAGAGAGGGGATAGTGGTACAGGAGGAAGTGGCTGTGGGGGATGGAGTGGTAGGAGGAGTGGAGGAGATCGGCTGTTAGGTGAGGGCGGAGTAAGCTTCCCTAAAGAGATGGGTTTTCAGGGTGCGCCTAACGGTGAGGAGGGTAGGTGACAGTCTGATGGATTGGGGTAGTGAGTTCCAGAGGATGGGGGAAGTCCTGGATAAGTCCTGCAGTCGGGCGTGGGAGGTGGAGACCAGGGAGCTAGAAAGTAGGAGATCTTGTGAGGAGCAAAGATTACGGGTAGGGTGGTATTTGGGTATCAGGTCGGTGAGATAGTTTGGGGC